GAGATCATACTCTAGATTTAATACTGTCACATGGAATTGATGTTGATGGCGTTGAAATTATGCAGCCAAGCGATGATATCTCAGATCATTATCTAGTCTTGTGCAAACTTCATATAGCTAAAACTGTAAATTATACCCGTTACAAGTATGGTAGAACCATCACTTCTACCAAAATACTCTTATTAAGTTATTAAGCCTCTCATCAAAAAAACACAAATTGACCCCAAAAAACTAGTTAGTTACAGACTGATCTCAAATCTCCCTTTTCTGTCTAAGATACTAGAAAAGGTAGTATCCTCACAATTATATTCCTTCTTAGAGAAAAATGGTATCTGTGAGGATTTCCAGTCAGGATTTAAACCGTATCATAGTACTGAGACTGCTCTCATTAGAGTTACAAATGACCTGCTCTTATCATCTGATTGTGGTTGTATCTCTCTATTAGTGTTACTGGATCTTAGCGCTGCGTTTGACACTATTGACCACAACATTCTTTTGAATAGACTAGAAAACTTTGTTGGCATTAGATGACGTGCATTAGCATGGTTCAAATCACACTTATCTGACCACCATCAATTCGTAGCAGTGAATGAAGAGGTATCATATCGATCACAAGTGCAGTATGGAGTACCTCAAGGCTCAGTACTAAGGCCGTTACTCTTCACGCTTTACATGTTACCCTTGGGAGAGATCATCAGGAAACACGGTGTTAGCTTTCACTGTTATGCTGATGATACTCAGCTCTATATTTCTTCGCGGCCCATCTCTTTAACCTGGCTTACACATAACACACTAATATGCTTCTAATATTTAAATCTGTTAAAGGATTGTTAGGCTGCAGTAATTAGGTCAACTGGAACCGGGAACACTTCCCATAACACTCGATGTACTTGCTACATCTTTAGAAGAATGGCATCTATGCTAATATTAGTCTGTTTCTCTCTTATTCTGAGGTCACCGTAGCCACCAGATCCAGTCTGTATCCAGATCAGATGGTCACTGCAGTCACCCGGATCCAGTACGTATCCAGCCCAGATGGTGGATCAGCACCTAGAGAGGACCTCTACAGCCCTGAAAGACAGCGGAGACCAGGACAACTAGATGAGCCCCAGAGACAGATCCCCTGTAAAGACCTTGTCTCCTAGACGGCCACCGGGACAAGACCACAGGAACCAGATGAGTCCTCTGCACAATCTGACTTTGCTGCAGCCTGGAACTGAACTGCTGGTTTCGTCTGACCAGAGGAGAACTGGCCCCCGACTGAGCCTGGTCAGCGATATCGTTGACTTGATTGCAAATGATTGCACAGATACTATTTAAACTGAACTGAGCTGGATGATGACATCACTGAATTAAATGATGAACTGCCTTTAACTGAAAAATTAGTGTTTACTATTGTCATTTTGCATTATTGACACACTATTTTCCTAATTAATGCTGTTCAGCTGCTTTGACACAATCTGTATTGTTAAAAGCGCTATATAAATAAAGGTGACTTGACTTGCTTGTAATGCAATTGTAACATTTCAATGTGTTTTTAGAAATAGTTTCTTTTACTTAAAGTAAACAAGCAGAAAATGAAATGTAAACTTTTTATGTATAGTCTAAATTTGTATGGATGCCTGTGAATTCATGGGTGATGTTGAGTGGTTATGTTTGTGTGTGTAATGGTTGCAACGAAATCCAAGTGGATAAATAGGAGCTTTAATAAATTAAATATATGATTATATAATGTGATGAAGGACATATGAAATGCAAATGTAAGTGTAATAAATAAGTGAAACGGGAAAACGTTTTTAATGTAATTGTAACGTGAAAATGTAATTAAAGAAATCGGGACTTTTATTATGAAAAAGAATCCGGAATTAGGCGGAAGCAGGAAGCAGGATCATACTGAAAGTGACGCTCAGCAGCGATCTCTTTAAAAGGTATTAAACGGTCAAAACTGCAGCATTTACAAAGCGAAAGTGAAAGTAAAGACTTCAGCACTGTTCTACCGGACGGTTAGTGTTTGATTTTGCGGCGATTTGGATGTTTAGGGTTCTATTTAAGTTCCGCCTTTGTGTATGTTCGGTTCGCTGTGTCATAGTGTGTTTTGTAAACAAAGTTCAGAAATGCACGGTCTAACAAGGTAAGTGTTTGTTTATGCACGATTCGCTGTGTAATGTGTTTTTACATGTAATGAAAGTGGAGAAACGGGCTATTGATAAAGGTAATCCATTAATTATGCCTAATTTGCTGCGTTAGTGTTTTTAATGAAAGTTTATAAAGGGCCGATTGAAAAAGGTAAGCCTTTAATTTATGCACGAATCGCTGTGTTATAGTGTTTTTACATATATTCAGAATCAGAATGAGCTTTATTGCCAGGTATGTTTACACATACGAGGAATTTGTTTTCGTGACAGAAGCTTCCACAGTGTAACAGAATGACAGTGACAGAACAAAAAACACAGATAATAAATTTTTTTAAATAAAAAATAGAACAATTAAATAAGGAATAAAAATACACAAATTGACAGTTGTATGTGCAGGTATATTACAATAGACAGTTTTTGTATGTACAGGTACTGTATATTATGTGCAAATTTGAGGTGTAGACTGAGTATGTGTGTTAGATAAATAAGTGTATGAGTGAATAAATAGTGTGTGTTCCACAGTTATTGTCAAGTGTTCATGAGATGGATTGCCTGAGGGAAGAAACTGTTCCTGTGTCTGG